TCATAAAAAAACGAACTAATACTGACCCCCCACCTTTTTTCCCCCAAATCTTTGTTTCCTTTTCTCTTCTCAATTCAAACCCTTTGTTAATTAAATAAGACCTTTTGAAGTCACCTCCTTTGTTTTTCTTGAACCCCTCTTCTCAATTTTAAATACAATTCTGCTTTTGTGTGGGGTGCCAGACGTGTTCAAACAAATTTTTAGAGGGTGTGGAAAGGGGACAGAAAAATTGTTGGCAACCTGGGTAAAGATTGTGTGTAGAGATAATCACTTTGTGTTACAGGGCTGGGCACTGTATGCGGAATATCTGGGCATGGAGAAAAATTTATATGAAAAGGATTATGAACTGTAAGTACAAAAAAGTTAAAGTTTTTTTTTTTTTTTTTTTTTTTTGGTTTATTTTTTTTAAAAAATTTTATATGCTATCCAAAGTGATAGTAATTGAAACCTATTAACTGTGTTGTAACAGTGAAACTAGAGCTTTCATTATTTTTTTTTTTAAATGTTCCTATTCCACTGCGCATCTAAGTCAGAATAACGCGATGTTAATTTGTTAAACTATCAGAATAATAGTTTAAGTATTACTGGTCTTCATGATATGCTCTAACTATTTTTTTTTAAAAATCCTATAATGGGTGCGTCTTTTGGTGTGGAGATTAGCTATTGCTTTGTATTTGTTACGTATTTTTGTATACGCACTAAAAAATAATATATATTTCGAAGGAGAAATTGAAGGAAATATGAAACGTCTTTTCGCCAGATATTCACCCATTTATATGACCGCTTCTTAAGAAATGATAAATTGCGTACAAGTACATAATTACAAACAACAATGCATGTAACGGATTTATATTTGTTATTTTTTAAATAAATCTATTAAGCATATCTTTTAATTTATTGAGAGATTGTTGATTCTATACATACTTCATTAAAGATCTCCTTATGATTTTCGCATGTTCTGTCTTCGTCGTGGAATTAAATGCATTCTGATTCCCCCCCCAGGATGGGCTACTATGAGTCTGAAATATTCAGGGCAGCTCGCCTGGTCGTGGACACAGGCCTTCACTATTTTAAGTAAGTTTTAATAGTATCTGATCCTGATGGAAAACACTGTCAAACATAAAAATGTCTTAACTCAGGAATTCTGAGCCTTTTAGCATGGCCGTAGCAGGAGGAAGCTTCTCGCGGCGTTATGCGTAAATTTTTGCGAACATTTCCCGTGAAGTTAAAAAAAAAAAAGTTTTACACAAGCGAACTATAAGGCTTTGTTAATTAACGTATTTCATTCATCGCATTAAATATTTCTTAATTTTAAATTATATTGAATGAAATTATCCTGAAATATCTATTTAGCAGTGTTTTTGCTTTAACCTATTTGAAACTCTTTTATAACTGTATCGGGGTCACTTAGCTTCTAAAAAAAAAAGTTTACCCCGGCTCCAAAAAATTTTGAAAACACTGTGATCTTTGATATAGGACAGAGCACTTCTTAGACTAATAACCAAAAGTTTACTGAGCACTTCTTAGAATAACCAAAAGTTTACTGAGCACTTCTTAGAATAACCAAGCGTTTACTCAGCACTTCTTGGAATAACCAAAAGTTTACTAATCACTTCTTAGAATAACCAAACGTTTACTGAGCTCTTCTTAGAATAACCAAAAGTTTACTGAGCAACTCTTAGAATAACCAAAAGTTTTAGAAGTAAATTGATATCAAAGATGTCCATGCAATGTTTCTTCACCGATTAAATGTTTCCCCATGTCTTCCAGCTGGTCCAAGGACGAAGCGGTGGAATATTTTATGAATTACACGGCAGAGTCTAGAGAAGGTGAGTTAGAGAGTTAAGACATTTACCTACAGCGGTTGACCCGGTGGGTTGGTCATTGACAGCTTGTGGGGGGGGGGGGTACCTAATAACTTCAATGAGAAATCGGTATCAGAATTGTGTAACTTTGAATCTGAACCAACAGATGACCAAGACGTGTCTCACTTTGAATCTGAACCAACAGATGACCAAGACGTGTCTCACTTTGAATCTGAACCAACAGATTAGCAAGACGTGTCTCACTTTGAATCTGAACCAACAGATTAGCAAGACGTGTCTCACTTTGAATCTGAACCAACAGATGACCAAGACGTGTCTCACTTTGAATCTGAACCAACAGATGACCAAGACGTGTCTCACTTTGAATCTGAACCAACAGATGACCAAGACGTGTCTCACTTTGAATCTGAACCAACAGATGACCAAGAGGTGTCTCACTTTGAATCTGAACCAACAGATGACCAAGACGTGTCTCACTTCGTATAGCTGTATATATATCAAACCCCCCAAAACCAAAGTTATGGAGTCCTCAAAGCTAAGATGTGTTAGAGAAATAACTTAGAGAGATCATAGCACACGCGCACACACACACACATAAAGGCATGCGCGCACTTACACACACACACATGCATACAGGGGGTTAGGAAGAAGGGGCGAAAAAAAAAAGGGGGGGGGCATCCACCCCGGGCGTTTGTTATTTACTTTATGTAAGGGGGTGGCATTTTCAGCCAAGTGCAAGGGGTTTTTTTTCGTGGGAAAACTTCGAGGGGGGGGGGGAGGATTTTTTGGCCCACCCTGAGTGACATTCACCGTAGCTGAGCCACTGCACGCACACATACGCCAAATACTACATGGTGACAAAAAAAAAGAGCCCCAAGAAAATGTACACTTCTAATTAAACTGTAGGCATTCTGGTTGAAGTTGACCGTTACATCACCTGGCCTGGCCAAGCTGTGACTTACAAGATCGGGGAACTGAAGTTCAGGGCGCTCAGAGAATACGCTGAGAAGGAGTTGGGTAAGTTTTAGATCAATGAGAGATAGAGATACTCGGCACTGGATAAGGATACTACATACCTATTTCATGAGTACTATTGTTATGTAAGTCAGAAAGGCTGGTTGTTTTGGTGTTTTTTGTTTTGTTTTTTTTTTGGGGGGGGGCAACTAACTCTGCTACAGCAGAATCAACCAACATAAGAATTTGCCCAAACATACTTTTTTATGTTTAATAGTTACACATTATTATATAGAAAACAAATCAGAAAATTAAATAATTTAAATAACAATAACGCAAAATTAAAAAAATGATCAAGTGTTTATCTTATAGCTATTTCCCTCGTTGTTTAAAATACCGTTCTATTCAGTTTATATACATTTATACTCACTGTTTAAATACCTTTCCACTCACTGTTTAAATACCTTTCGACTCACTGTTTAAATATCTTTTCATTCATTGGTTAAATATCTTTCCGTTTATTGTTTAAATATCTTTCCATTCATTGGTTAAATATCTTTCCATTCATTGATTAAATATCTTTCAACTCATTTTTAAAATACCTTTCCACTCACTGTTTAAATAAAGTTCGATTCACTGTTAAAATATCTTTCCATTTATTGTATCAATATCTTTCAAATCATTTTTTGAAAATATCTCTCCACTCACTTTCTATTCAGCGTTTAAATACCTTTCTATTCGCGGTTTAAATAGCTTTTCTATTCTTTTCAGTTATAATTAAATGTAAACTAATACTTTATTAAATTCTGGAAATTATTGATCTTATAGCCAACCACCTTTTCTTTCACCTTCACAGGTGATCGGTTCGATGTACGGGAATTCCACACGGCCGTGCTGAAAAACGGGGCTGTCCCACTGCACACCCTGGAGGACCAGGTGGTTGAGTGGGTCAAGCACCACCAGAACAAGGCCCACGAGCTGGGCGGCCCCGAGGACTGTGACTGCACCACTCCGGATCCCACGGTCAAATCCAGATGTCAGCGCTCGGTCCCCAGAGAGAACGGCTTCGGTCTCGCGTCGGGACCCCACCGAGTTCTTACGATCCTCTTGTTTTTGTGTATACTTGTGCTAAATTATTAGCGACTTTCTTTTTTTCTCCTCCTTGTTGTTGCACGTTTAAAATCATGTGATATTTGTTAATTTTATGAAAGTCTATTTCCGGGGTCAGTTGAAGGTATAGTTTTTTTTTGTTTTTTTTTTTGTTGCTTTTTTTAATGTTCACAAGTTCATGGAGAATTGTGTGATTGTCTTGTTATCTTGATTATTATTATTTTTTTAATACATCAGATTTTGCAGGAAAATTCATGAAAGTGATTTTTTTTAAAATTAATTTTTAAAGTAATTTTAAAAAATAGAATGTTCTAGTTTGTTTGTTGATTTTTTTTAAATTATTTTTTTTACAATCTTAAATGGTATGTGTATCAAGTGGCATTATGGAGTGACTATTTCATTTGTAAATATGTTACATTTTTAAATATATTACTTCATGCAGAAAAAATAATGCTGGATTCTGTCCACAATATTGTAAATTGTTACAGAATTATTTTAAAATAATTTTCTTTTAAAAAATCGAAATTAAATTGTTGTAAATATTTTTCTAGTATGACAGCTCTAAATTGATATGAAGTTATAATATATGCTCGTAATTTGTGGAGTGACCTGACGGACGATTACAGGTGTTATATCAGACTTTCGTTATTACGTTAACAATGATTTGTAAGTGACTTATGATAGCTCATAGTTGAACACTCGAGTTAAACATGACAAAATAGAATAGACATTTTTTTTTTACAGACAAGTGTGTGGCGAATCAATATTGGTACCTAATTTTTAAAATGTTTTATTCTGGTCGAAATAAATCTGTATTTTCTAAAATTGTTGCTTTTTTTAAAACCTTTTTTCAGTTTCCTGTGTGTCATTGTGTTTCAATCTTTGAGATTCTGCTGTTAGTGGATGCGCAGGAAGCCTTGACATTTTATTGTTAGGCGATGCTCTGTTCGTTCTTTTTCAAAATAAACTCGTTATTTACCTCCCCCTGATTGGCCAGTTTCTCCCAAGTCCCAAAACTCTGTATATTATACAAGAAATAATAACCATGTTACTTGTCTCCCATTAGTGTTCATATATTCATGTCTGTAACAGTAACGTCTTTTGTAAGCACCAAAAATATTTTTTTATTTAAGTCTTTATTTATAAATATCTTATGCAAATAACGAACCAAGAGGGCGTGGGACACACAGAATAACACAAGGGAAAAATTGATTTTTTACTCATATCATATCTTTCTCTCGATGACTTCTATTTTAATAAACAGCGATTACAAACACTATATCAACAATCGCCACTCTAATGAACCACGCTATACTCGCTACCAACAATCGATAATCTAACGAACACATACAACATGTTGGACGTATTTATATGTCTTTATGTACTAGCATAAATAAAAAGCAAGGTGCTGGCTGCCCCGGTGCCGCCCACCAAGTCCTGGGGCCGTAGGTCCTTGACATAATTGGCAGCGGCGTTGGCATGGGCAGCGTCCAGGGGAGCCATTGCCGCATAGCAGAAAGCTTGCCAGCCCTAAGGGGGAAAAACACAAATGAAAAATATGATAAGGTGTTTTAATTTTTTATTTTTTGTGATTTTTTTTTCTAACAAAATACATTTTTTGGAGTAAAAGGAAGACATGTCGACTACCAGGCACACTGATAAGATGAAAGCCGAGCGAAGTTGTGAGAGTTAAAGCAAGTGAGGCAATAATCCAGCGTGAGGTGTGGGGATATGTTAGGAGTTACACATTTAGTCCCAAGTACAGACAACCATCCAACGGTTGGGGTAGTGGACACATTATGGCAACAGTCTTCAAGAACGGTGGGGATTAATTAATATCTATAAACATCGGATGTAAGAAAGAAATGCATTCTGGGGAAAGAATATTTGCAACATTTTTCAAATGAACTTCGGAAGAACTGAAAGATCCTAAGCTAGAAAAAAATCACGTGAAGTTAGATCGTGCGTTTAAGAAGATATTTCAGTTGTATAATATCAGTCATGTTTAATCTTATTCTTCTTATTGAAATGAATAGCAACCCACCTTCCTTTCCCCAAAACACACACACACACACTTTAAAAAATAAATTTTAAACAATTCCACCGAGTTCTTGACATTGAATTTGGCCTAAGTTTCTAATAGAATATGATTTGCAAAGTTGAGGTTTGGTCAGCAAAAGACGACTGCCTTGTATTCAATGGAAGTCATATTTACATAGAAATAGAGCCATTAAAAAATATGCTAAAACATTTACATATTGTTTTGTGTGAAATATATTATTATATTTAAACGGGAATGAACGAAAATTGTAAAGGCATTTTAAAGGTTTAGAAAATAATACCTTTTTTTTATTTCAACATTCAGTACTTTAAATTGTATCAGATAAGTAGACAAAGACTTTTCTGAACTTGTATGAATGATTATATTTCGTTCATATGTGCAAGGCTTTTCTGGACTTGTATGAATTATTATATTTAGCTCATGTACAAACCGCTCCCCCCCCCCCCCCTTTTCAAAAAAAAAAAAAAAAAAAAAAAAATTGACCGCCCATTTGAACACTTCAATGCTTATGACCATCATCAGCTTTTTTGGTTACTCACCGTGCCGAGGGCTCGGCTCAGGTCGGAGGTCTTCTCCGCAATGCTGTAGGAAGGATTCGTACTCGGGTTGATGGCAGACTCGCAGGTGTGTCGGACGCTGGCCGCCCATTCCTGAGACGGTCAAACAAAACCAACTCAACTATCGCATCATCTTGACAACGAGTTTATAATGATCAGGCCGAGTGAAATATAAACAATCATAGTAAATCATTATCCACATCACAATGCCACTAACACTGTTTTCACAAAATAAAATTCCCGACAGCTGCGCTAAATGAGATTCTACAGCATGCGCGTTTGGTGCGCAATATTTTCTTGTGTTTTACGGAAATATTCTCTCAATTTGAATATGGTGTTATACATTTGTGGTATAAAATTGGTGGGAAATTGAGATTATTTATAAACTTCAGAGGCGTGAAAAAAAGTGAGCTGTTGCGAACATGGGGAGGTGGTGAACCACTCATTTGGATTTATTGTAAAGTGAGTTACCTGAATGCATATTTAGTCAAGTAAATTTAGTAGATGGGATTATGGGACGTTCACACGTTCCTGTCGCCATTGTTTGGCGGGCTTATAGCTAGTAATACTCGGATTTTAAATGGAGAGGTCACAATTTGTATTTTTTAATGGTTTTGCATAGAAGGCCGATATTAAAGGACCCCTTAAAAAAACACCTCTTACCCTCAAAACTGTGGAACAATATTTCCGAAGTTCTTTTCCGAGGGCAGGCCGAGATGTTGGCCGTTACCCGTTAATGCCACACCACTATCTAAAGAAGGAAAGGACCTCCCCGGGGGTGGACTTCCCCCTCGAAAACTCCCTTCCTACCACCACCGAACACTGTTTGTATTGATACAAGCCATCCGACAGTGTATTAATATACCGTCGGTCAACTCGCCTGGTCCATCCAGTACTTGGACACACCTGTTCGGTCAACTCACCTGATCCATCCAGTACTTGGACACACCTCTTTGGTCAATTCACCTGATCCATCCAGTACTTGGACACACCTGTTCGGTCAACTCACCTGATCCATCCAGTACTTGGACACACCTGTTCGGTCAACTCACCTGGTCCATCCAGTACTTGGACACACCTGTTTGATCAACTCACCTGATCCATCCAGTACTTGGACACACCTGTTCGGTCAACTCACCTGATCCATCCAGTACTTGGACACACCTGTTCGGTCAACTCACCTGATCCATCCAGTACTTGGACACACCTGTTCGGTCAACTCACCTGATCCATCCAGTACTTGGACACAGCTGTTATGGGTATCACTTGTATCCCCACCAGACACCCGTGCCTCTGGGGAAAGATGTTGGGGTCGCACGGCCAGTTCAGTGTGTAGGCGTAGAAGTCAGCTTCCGTGATCATGCCGACAACTCCAAAGTTCTGGAGAATTGGAGGGAAGTGATTTCGGTTGTGGTTTCTGACCTGTGAACATTAAAAAGTTTTTTGTTTTTTTTTAAATCAAATGAATTTTATAAGAAATTATGTGTTTATTTGTTCTTGTTGTTTTCAATCACCAAGTTTATTTACTTGTATCTTTTCTTAACGTTTTTTTCGTTATGTAACATAACTATTGCAATCTTTCCTAACAATAAGATTCCTTGTAATCTATTTCAGGACGTACGCATAAGTTGATTTAATTGTTCTAAATATTTCTTAGAGTTTTTTTCTATTCCTTTGAATATACATTTGTAAATAGTACTCATGAGAGTGGATTGTATAACAATAACATCGAATTCAAGGGACATCATTCTATTCCTATTCCTTTCTCGAGTCACTCTCAGAGAGAAACAGGTTGATTTTCAGGCATGCAGTGGCGTCCCCTTCAAAATGTTTCTAGAATTTTTTTTTATTACAGCACACTAAGATATGAATGAATAATTGGAAGGGAAAACATTTGGAAGGGCGCTGCATTTTCAAAATAAGTAGTTGCGTCCACTTTAAAATTCGTTACCACCCCCCCCCCCAACCTCATTTTGTTCCATTTCCTTTGTTTAAAAAGATTATAGGAGCCTCTTAGTTTATGGAAATAATCAGTTTTCATTGGCTGAGATGCCAAAAAAAAAAAAATAATAATAATTTATTGAAAAAAAACGTTTTTGTTCATGGTTAAAAAAAAAAAAAAGTTCATGCTACCTTTAATGTCAATTTAATCTAATTAACAGAGTCATGACAAACCTGCCAATACTCCCTGACGGAAGCCCCCTCCAAGGCCAACAAGGTCTGCCCCGTCTGTTTTAAATTCTGATCATTGATTGTTTAAAAAGATGTTAGGAGCCTCTTAGTTTATGGAAATAATCAGTTTTCATTGGCTGAGATGCCAAAAAAAAAAAATAATAATAATTTATTGAAAAAAAACGTTTTTGTTCATGGTTAAAAAAAAAAAAAAGTTCATGCTACCTTTAATGTCAATTTAATCTAATTAACAGAGTCATGACATACCTGCCAATACTCCCTGACGGAAGCCACCTCCAAGGCCAACAAGATCTGACCCGTCTGTTTTAAATTCTGATCATTGAAGGCGTCACCAAGAGCTGCAAGACCGTGATAGCAGTTGATGCCCTGGGACGGGGCGGGGGGGGGGGGAGAGATACATGGATCAAGCAAATTTTGTGGTGAGAATTTTCTTTCTCTTCTAGCATTTTAAACGTGAACTTGTTGATTTTAAGCGTTCACTTTGCCCGGCAGATTGGTAGGCACTATCGTTATTCAGTGGCCGTGAACTTAAAATTAATTCCCTAATAAAATTTCCATTTGAGATGAATTACGGCGTTGACGTAAGACGTACACATAAAGCCAATGCACATTCCCCATGCAACCTAGTGTCACGTGATCTTATACCTCAGACGCCGACTCCTCCTGGCGTATTCCGGGCACGAGCCCCGAGGCCCACGAAAAGCCGGTGTAGAGGTCTTTCTGTCTGGACACCGGGAAGTGAGGATCCCTGGAGCTGGGGTTTCCAACATCTCTCGCCAGGGAGTAGATGGCGGCCTTGTGAGCTTGAGATGTCAAACACAATGAAACTTTTCATGCGTAGCTAATACATAGAGTTTGGAAACTAGACCTAAAATACAGCAAAGAAATACTTCTTACATGGTTAATACACAGAGGTTGGAGACTAGACGTAAAACAAGACAGTGAAACATTGCATACATGGCTAAAACACAGGTGTTTAATGCTTTATAGCTGAAAAATAATTTAATTAAAATTTAGATAATATTCTCGAAAAGGTAGGCAGTTGAAGACCTATGTATTATATTCCTATGTATTATATTGCCTAATTCAGGTCTCAAAACGGTAACAGTTTATAAATGGTGTCTTGGTTACATGAATGTCTTGAACTATTAGCAAAACAAAACGCACATACTGGTAGCCCAGAATGATCAATACCTTGATGGTGAGTCCTCAACATATAGAAGAAGAAGAAACTATAGACGTAATAAAATATTGAAAAATGTGTGGAGCGTCTTTGTGAAAACGACACCCCCAATGCAAACAGCTGCCCAAGTCTCATCGCAAAACCTATTCTCAAACCGACATACCATTGCCCCAAGCTCTGTTGTGTTTCACGTAGTAAGCCATGGCGTAGATGAAGTAGCCCAGGTGAAAGTGGTGGTCGTTGTAGTACGGGAATCCGTAGTCCACTCCCCAGTCTACGCCGGCATCCCCGGTGGCCCGCAGGAACAGACCGCCCCATACGTCATCGTAGTGGAACTTCCACATGTTGTCCAGTGTATCTGCGGGTCAGAGGTCATTTCGTGAACGTGAATTTAAAAACAGATAAGCGTTATGCAGTGAGTCTGTGTGATAAATAACGTGGGCAATCGATCTTATGCTTCTCAGAAGATAATGTACAGCCCCTACACTCCATTACAAGGTGCAACTCAGGCACTCCATTACAATGTACAAACTAGGCCACTCCATTACAATATACAAACCAGGCACTCCATTACAATGTACAAACCAGGCACTCCATTACAATGTAAAAACTAGGCACTCCATTACAAGGTGCAACCCAGGCACTCCATTACAACGTAAAAACCAGGCACTTCATTACAATGTACAAACCAGGCACTCCATTACAACGTACAACCCAGGCACTCCGTTAAATTGTAGAACCCCTACACTCCATTACATTGCAAGGGGAAAAATGTAATGATATTAAAATAACAAGGTTTTCGGAGAGCAAATTTTACGGCTATGGAAGCATCATCCGTCGTTTGATTTTAATTTGATTTCAGTTTGTTTCTTAAGGTTAAAGGATTCGCATATTTGCAATTTACCATCTAGTGACTTAAACGTTGGCATCCATAATTATTTTTACACCAGAGTTGGTTGCTGAAAAAAAAAAGGGGGGGGGGGCAGTTTGAAATAAAATTCATGACATAACTATTTTAGCTGAAGCTTCAACGAGAACATTTATAGATCTTAGTTATTAACCGAACTAGTCGTTTGTCGGGTAAGCTGGGTTTTCCCTTAATGTGAATGTAATTGCTATCGGTCCGGCGAACTAAAAAGAAGAAGTTTAGTGACAAATTAAAATGTGTATTCCCTGTTGAACCAGTGGCGTTCACGGCGTTTTTGAGGAACAGAGAGGCCGACAGATCATTTCAAATACAAAAGCATTTTAACAAATAATATAAAGATGAGAGAACAAATAGTTCCCAGTTAGATCTTCCCACGAACCTTGAACTCTGAGCCATTTTTCCAGACAGTCTTTGATGGAGTTCTCCAGCCTGGTGTAGTGGTTGGTGTTGAAAGCCCGGGACAAGCTGGCGAGCCTGGTCACCATGCCGATGCCTTTCCCGCCGTTGTAGCTGTCGGTGTGGGCACAGATGGCGTCCAGATTTTGGTTCTGGGAGTCTCTCTCGATGGCGGCCAGAACATTCTGAGAATTGAAGGATAATCTAAAATATTATGGCGGAAATAACAATGGGTGTTTCTCGTTTACCGTAACTGCTCTAATAAACGAAATGTTTGAGTAGATCGATGCAAACATCATGAAATCACGCATGTAAATTTAGCCGTTCGAAGTGATGACCATTGGTTAAGATGTTGACAAGTAAAAGTGCAATTCATTAATGCACCATTAAGATCGGAGTATTAAAACAACGGAATTCTTTTTACATTTGATGGAAAAGGGCACCATGATGTAACCAGCAGAAGATGTGTTTCATTTCGGGGGGGGGGGGTGGAACATTACCTGCAACTGAGTGGGGTTAGCTCTCACTCTAGCCACGCCCTGGGGATCTGGGTATTCATTAATGCACCATTAAGATCGGAGTATTAAAACAACGGAATTCTTTTTACATTTGATGGAAAAGGGCACCATGATGTAACCAGCAGAAGATGTGTTTCATTTCGGGGGGGGGGGTGGAACATTACCTGCAACTGAGTGGGGTTAGCTCTCACTCTAGCCACGCCCTGGGGATCTGGGTCAACTTCCGTGTGTAGTACGTCATACTCCATCAGCCAATCATTTCCTTCGTACCCTTTAAAGGTGAAGGGCGTGTCGACCACTTTATCTGAGTGAGACTTGGTTAAAATGAGCGCCTGAAACATTTTTTTTTTTAAATTAAAAAAGGAAATGAAATAATATTGATAGATTTGAGGATTTCCAAAAAGATATGGATTTTAATAGCAAGAATTGTGGGCATTGAGAAGAATTCATTTGTCTATCAAACCTCTACCTCTAAACAATAGACTAACCCCGAATTTATTCACCGAACAAAGTAATTTTTTTTTTTAATGAGCCTCTAACAATTTCAAAAGTGTCATTTTACGAAGAAGATAGAAACATATGTTTAAAAGGTGTTTTGGAAGGGATATGTTGTTTTTGTTGTTGTTTTTTTGTGAATATCTCTAAGCAGCTAGCTATGCATGGTGAACATTTTTTTCCGTTATCCTAACTAAATTTCAAAGCAACTACCAGATGTTACCATGATCAACAAATCACACCGAGTCCTTAATGAAATTAGTAGAAGATTGAAAGCTAAAGAATAAGTTTTATAGCTACTTTAAAATGTGGGTGTTTTTTTGGAAAATTCTTCTGAATTTCAATTTCAATTCATTTATTTTAAATTTAATTCCGCTGTGAATGTAGCTTATTTGGTTCTCTCATAGAATGCTGATTGAGAGAGCTTGTTATGATTGGGGAAAAAAAACCAACGAAATGGGAATTTTGTAGAAGAAATCGTAAATACAAGCAGTGTTGCTTGGCCAGAGACAAAACAGCTAGGAAACATGATAGCTAGAAAAGTTCACCTACCTGGTGTGGCATGGCGACCATTAGTAGAGTACCAGACCTGGCAGCGGAACCAGACGCGTCCACGGTATCCCAATCAAAACTGACGTAACCCTTGTTCCTGGAATTGCTGACACAGTATTTCACATGTGGTTTATAAGGGTAGACCCCGGCGTACTTGTCGAAATAGTTAATCTGTGAACCGTCTCCTCTCCTCGACGCCCCGGCGTAGGCCACCTGCAAAATTCCGGTGAACTGCCCGCCACCTGGGGGCTCGAACCTGATCAGCTGGGCGCCCTGGTCGATCCTCGCCAAGACCGGAGAGGAGAAGTAAAGGATGAACTTCCGGCTCTGATCGGGCAGGTCGGTCCCGGGCTCGCTGAGCTCCATGACGAACTTCGTGTTGGCCTGGGCTATGTCTCCGGCCGTGTAGGCGTAGTTCACGTTGACAGGGGCGGAAGTGGCGTGGGCCGGACCCTGCGTGGCTTGGGTATTGCCTCCAGCGCCATCTGTGATTCTCGAACCGTCGCATTTGCTTTGGTACGGATGCACCAGCCAGTCCGCTCTGGGAAAAGTCGTCTGCCCGATGATGTTTACCGCCAATCTGAGAACGATAAAGGTATACGAATACAAAAGGTATTCGAATACAAAAGGTATTCGAATACAAAATGTATACGAATACAAAAGTGTATTACCCAAAAGTCTATTCGAATACAAAAGGTATTCGATTACAAAAGATATACGAATACAAAATGTATTCAAATACATTTCACAATGAATACATAGGAAAGCATTTCTTTGTTTGTTAAAGAAACGACATTTAATGAACGAATCAACCATAGTTCAAGCTTCGCGTTGAAGCCACGAGGGGAGGCAACAATCGCTTTAGATTCAATGTAATAACGGAGCGATAAGTTATTCAATGACCGATACGTGATACGGACACTCACTTGTAATCATTGGCCGGCGCCTTGGTTCTGATTGTCACCGTACTGCCACTGTGTTGACAGGTGGCGGATGTGCAGGTGTGCATGCCAGGTGTGAATCCACCCGTCCATGTGGAGGCTGTTTCTATGGCAAATTGGAACTGTTCACAAAAGAATGGTTTTTTTTTTTTGTTTTTTTTTTAAGTATAAAGGGCTTTTTTGACTATTAATTGGTAGGTACATTTTTTTCAAGTGGAAGACCCTAGGTACATTTTATGCTATTTAAAAAAAAAAATTATTATTTAAATTATTACTATTTTTTTACCATAGCTGTTTGTGTACGGGGAATGTAAGATAAGTATGTTTTTAATTTAAAAATGTGTTGTTTTTTTCCGAATTCTTTGGCCTTGGTTTTGTTGATGGTATTTTCTTATCTTTCCTTGAGAACTTCTCAGCTGCTCGACATTGAACAAATAAGCCAAGGAAGATTACACAGATTTGGTCTACATATTTACGGCTTTGTCGTTATTATTATTTAGATTTGAGAGTAATTTGTTTTACTTCAGCTTTCCCCACATTTAAATGAAAGTCTTTTCAACGCTCATCAGCACATCCTTATAACCTTACAAGGATCCCTACAACATTGTATTATTTTATCAGTATTGTTATTTTTATTATTATAATTGCTTTTTTTTTAAATTGAAAAGAGAAATGTATAAATTTTAATTTTTTTTAAATTTTTTTTACATGATTGCTTTACGACCACTCGCATTTTTTCATATATTTAAAAAAAAAATATTTTTTTAAACAGTAACCCAGTATTGCGTTATAGCCAAACCTAAGATTGATCGGTTTTTTGTTTTTATTTAAATCAATGTAGAGCACATTGCGGTCATGTTTGAAAAAAAAAAAAAAAATATTATATTATATTTATAAAAATATAAAAGAAGGAGACGAAACCGAAATTAAATGTATGATATAATATCTAATAAAGGCTTGGCAGATTAAATGGGCCATGGTTTTCATTGTTTGTTTTTTAAATGTTAAACTAAAACCCATTCACATTGCTTTATAACGTTTTTACCATTTTTTTTTTTTTTTTTTTCGTTTTGAAAAATTTCTCTGATAAAAGAAATTTCCAAAATTATATTTTAAACTATATAAAATACATATTTATTAATTATTTATTTTATTATTTTTTTTTTTTTTCGTTTTGAAAAATGTATCTGATAAAAGAAATCTCAAAAATTATATTTCAAACTATATAATATATATATTTATTAATTATTTATTTTATTATTATTTATTTTATTTTATTGTTTTTTTTGTGGGGTAGGGAAGATCTAAGAGTTGAGGTTAAAACGTGGACGATTAAACAAAAAAATAAGACATAATTTACTCACATGATCCAGGCCAGGGAATGCCTCCGGCCCCAGGTCAACGACGATGGTCACGTCACGGGATGGGGCGCAGGTGGCCGTCAGTGAAATGTCCCCGGCGGCCCGGGACTCCACATCCCTCTTCCCCGAGCAGGTGGCCTCCCCTGGATGGTTGGTCCAGTCTGACGGCACCAGGTAGTGACCGATGTAGTTGACGGCGTAGTTCATGACGCCTGTGTGTGAGATGGTCGGTTTGGAAGACATTCAAATCAGGCACAGCTACAGTGACATTATTATCTTATGAGACCAAAGTAAGAATATGACGTCCGTTTGGTTTATTTTGGACTTTGAGACAAAGACTCCAGGGTCGGCGCAAGAAGAGGCTGCGCCCGGGGCTGAGACTGAATTTCGGTGCCTTATTCCCCAAAAAGTATATATTAATATTTTTTTTAATATTTTTTTTGCAAGAATATGTCTATTTTGGCGTCATTTTTGAAAATGGGGCCCGAGATAGATCTCCCCCCCCCCCCAACTTTTCGCCCCACCCTCACCCTTGCATGTTCCTGAAACAATGTGCCGATGTTTGAGCTAAGATTGGAAACGCAAAAAGAGTAAATAATTTTTCCTTTCCCATTATAAAGGCCTTCCATTTAAAGCTTTCCGAGAACATAATTATAACACTTATGTTTACTAATTCAACAAATAATGTTAATTTAAGATTGTAGACCATTGGGACAATACATTTTAGCACATTTACTACTCAGACCTTTTAAGGCGCTGTTAAAAATTTTGATTCGTTTCTTTAGGTTATTATTTCTATTGTTATCTTAAATAGCAAGAATTATTTGCAGGCGATGCGTCAGACCTGATGAGTTGGGTATCCTGATTCTGATGGTTTTCCCGCCATCTGAAGCCGTACAGTGAGCGGCGTCACAGGTTCTCATGAAAGTGTGACCCCAGTTATTTTTAGGGTCAGCTGCCCACTGGGTGGACAAAACATGAACAATTAAGAATAATTATTTAGCATTCCCCAAAAAATAGACATTACCGAATGGTGTATTTAATTAAAAAGATGACGCCCATTTTTGGAATAATTTTCATCACTTGCTAATACTGAAATTGACGAGAAACCGAAGGCTATCTCGACAAAATTTTATACAACTGGCCTGAGATATAGCCTAAAATAAGAAAAAAAAAACATTGTTTTTTTTATAATGAAAAAAAAAAGTTTTAATAACGTGCGACTTTTTATAAGTCATTCCGTAAGAAACTGGTTTTAGAGAGAGATGTTGGTAAGTATTGTTACACCAGTTGCGTTACTAACGGGGGAGGGATAGACAGGTAGTGGCATTGGAATTCGTTATCATGCACGGGGGGGGGGGTACTGACAGTGGCAGGGATGTCACTAACAAGGGCGTATGTCCACTGGCTCCTGCGTCACATGAAGAAAATTCGTGATATTCTATCTATGTCTTCAGCTTAGAATTTATTTATGTTAAAAGATTTTTATTCTTTACAAATTTAAGCAAATTTGAGGACTTTTGTTATTTTAATTTTTTTTTTTTTATTCGAACAGGATAAAATTGAATAAAACGAATAAGGATGCAAGTGAACAGCATTGATTTTTTTTCCCTTGTGTGGTCACCACTAGTTACACACAACACACTCACCTGTAGAAGAGACAGGTCCGTGACAGCTTTGCTGTTGTGGAGTGTTATGGTGAGCACACCCCCGTGACATTCACCTTCAATGCTGCCACTGCCACCATCGCCGGCTGGATGTGGATGACAGGTTTTATTGTTAGTCCCCCCCAAAAAAACAACAACAAAAATTATCCATCATAATTAATTCATTTGGAATAAACTCTATTCTACAAGAAACAAAATTTCGCCAATTGTATACATAAATAATGCTCTTTCTAAAAGGTTATAATTTATGGGAAAGTTTGAGAGAAAAGAGGACAAAAAATAAGAGCAAGGAGAAATGTTGCCGGCTAGGGAGAAAGAGATAAATTAAGAGACATGACATAAAGAGAGAGATAGAGATACTACACGATTAACACACAAACAGAGAGAGAAAGAGAGAGAGAGAGATATAGTGAGAGAGAGAGAGATATTAGAGACAGAGAGATTAAAATGAGTAGAGAGAGATTAGAGAGACAGAGATTAGAGAGAAATTAGAGAGATTAGAGAGCGATATTAGAAAGAGAGATTAGAGCAAGCGAGATGTTAGAGAGAGACATTAGAGTGATAGAGATTAGAGACAAAGAGAGATTAGAGAAATATTAAAGAGAGATTAGAGAGAGAGAGAGAGATTAGAGAGATTTTAGAGAGAGATATTGAGAGAGATTAGAGAGAGAGAGAGAGAGATTAGAAACATAGAGGAATTAGAGAGAGATTAGAGAGGCACGGAGGCATAAAAAGATATAATAAGAAAAAGAAACAATTTCTTTTTTAAAGGTTCAAATCTGTTGATTAGCATTGACCGACCTGACGGTAAAACTGGACAGTCGAAGTTAGTGGCGTGTCTGTTGATGGAGCTGAGACAGAACGGCTTCACAACGGGATTGGCTGATTTCAAGACGTGCGTCACGAAGGCCGAGCCTCGGACAATAGGAACCTATCATATGATGATAATACAATTATACAGATAAAAATCCCCTTTGATTGATGTAGAGCTCAGTTGATTATAAATGTTTTACTTAAATTTAAAAAAAATATTTTTGGGGACAGGGTATGGGGGAAAAGAGTCAGTGACTTCAGCCACGTCGTCCCCTTGTGAGTATTTCAAACACCGCGTTCATATTTTTTAAAAAGTTATCTATTCTAGTAGGTCTCTGTCTATTGCTCAGATAGGTCTCTGTCTATTGCTCAGATAGGTCTCTGTCTATTGCTCAGATAGGTCTCTGTCTATTGCTCAGATAGGTCTCTGTCTATTGCTCAGATAGGTCTCTGTCTATTGCTCAGATAGGTCTCTGTCTATTGCTCAGATAGGTCTCTGTCTATTGCTCAGATAGGTCTCTGTCCATTGCTCAGATAGGTCTCTGTCCATTGCTCAGCTATCTCAGTTCCACTGGTGAGAGTAGGGGGTCTTATTAAATGGTGATGTTAAATCTAATAGTCACAAAAAATGTGACTAGAAATTAAAACAATAAACATCAGAATTAATGAGAATCTGCTGGGTATTTTAAGCAGATATCATTTATTTTGCAAAATAAACATTGTAAATACATCCAGGAAACGCCTAAATGATAAATTGTATGGAAATTTAGATATGTTTTTATATGGTGAAAAAAATTTTTTTTTTGTTATAGATTGTTACTTGAAAAAACTGCTCATCTAGTCAGTTGTGACGGGCAGTTAACAAGAGACATAATTGCATTGCATTGATCTCTAGTTTTACCTCCATCGAGCTCCCCCCGGAGTGGTAGGCAAAGTTGGCATACAGCTCGCCAAAGGCCGTCAAGGTCGGTTCACCGGCACCTTGTATTCCTACACGGACACCTGATTTACCTGGAGTGGGGGAATTAACACGTTTTCAGAAACAGTTCCGGTTGAATTAAAACAATTTAAAAAAAAACAAACAGATGTTTTCTTACCATCAAGCAGTATGACATAAGTTTATGACAACTATCGACATCTGCGTGATTTTTTTTATGGTGTTACATACTTAACATAGTCTAGACTTGTCACCTGACCTCCCCTACCCCCCCCCCTTTTTCCCATCCCTCTCCCCTCAAAACAACTTGATATGTCGTGACGTACCTGAGAAACCAGACTTAGGATTTCCATCGGGCCCTGACGTCATCTGACGCATGTTGGAGCCCATGTCGTTGAGTTTGTTCCAGGGTTTTCCCTGCTCCCAGGCGGATTGCTGCTCCATAAAGTCGGTCCTCTTGGGGTCAGTCCAGCGGTCCATCGTGTAGGAATCCAGCGCCACTCCGTCGGTGGTCAGTAGAACTGCGGACACCCGATGATTATATCATAAGACCAACACCGACTTAGTTAATTTTTTAGACGCCTGATCGCGTGGATGGTTCAAGTCACGTGATACATTTTTCATAATTATTCATTTATTATTCACCATTTTTGTTTTAAAAACAAGATTTTGAAATACTCCTGCACTTGTCCAAGACAGTCGTCGCCATGAACACTACAATGTGATAGTAGATGTGTTCTGTTCTGTGGTATTTACTTATACGGTCCATGAAAAGTCGACATTAGAGACCAGCCCGGCAAGATATTGTTTAAGCTAGGCAACCAGGCAGCACGCCTTGACCAGCCTAATCCCATCTTTGATATCACACACCCTTGTGAATAACTTTGATCTTACAGGCCCATGAGCGTTACTTTGATATTACAGGCCCATGAGAATTACTTGGATCTTACAGACCCATGAGAATTAATTTGATTTACAGACCCATGAGAATTACTTTGATATGACAGCCCCATGACACTAACGTAGGTAAGTAAGACACTAAGTATTACCTTAATATTTCAGGCCATGAGACTTACTTTAATATCACAGGCTCTTGATAAGCCTGCGATACTTACTCTGATAGGGTGTCTGTATGATGGGCCAGATGTCCTTGTTCTTGATGTGGTTCGTGGCGAAATGTCCCGTAGGAAGCGGTCCGCTCTGTCGCAAGTTTCCGACGCGCTGGGGCGTGGCCTTCACCCCGAGCTCGTGGGTGACGCCGAATAAAGTAGCCGGGTTGGCAGTATCCAGGGGCGTGTCCTGCGCAGCATGACAGTCGGGTAGATTGGGCAAGACACTTTCTGTCACGCCCACTGGGTGGAGTGATATAAGGTTATGGAGTATGGATTAAATATATTTTGATCACTTAAACTTACTATTGATGACTAGCTATAGCCCCGCGAAACAATGACGGCAGCAATGCGCAAACTTCCCATCTACTAAAAATTTCTAGGCAAAATATGCATTAAAGTAACACACTTTATAAGAATCCCAATTAGTGCTATTTTATCCCTCCCCCAGGTATTTTACCGCACACTTCTTCACACCGTTGAAATATGATAATATTATAACACCCCCTCCCCTCTTTTTTCACAGCAGTTTTATTAATCCCCTTTTAAATTCAGACGATTTCCGTAGAACTAACTCACTTGCGGTATTTTTTTTTATAAATTTCATTTAGCGCAGTTATCGGGAATTTTATTTTGATCGCTATTGAACTCACCATTACACGCTACATCATTCTTTCATGGCTAGAGAATTATATCTATTGATGTCACGGCGTGGAGTGATACATTCAAGACAACTTTTCTTATAAAAAGTCTTCCAAAAATTATTTTTTTTACGAAGCCGCGAAAAGAAGCAGCCATCCGAAGAAATTTGATTTTAACTCAATAGAGCCCACTCTGTATAACACATGTGTTGATATACCATCTTAAAATATTTTTTTTAAATTTTTTTATAGGCAATCACTTTGCAATAAATATGATTCTGTTCCAACAGCCAATCATCTTAAAATAGAGATATTATGCCTCGCTTAGACTTAGTATTAGTGCCTTGCAAAAGCCTGAATTTCAGGTGCACTATTCCTTACAATATATGAATACACAATTATATATTGCATGAAAAAAGACGATTGTGGCGCTTTCGGAAGATGGCGTCCTGGATGAACGGAAAAAAAAGATTCGACAAATTTCAGTTCGATCAAATTTCCGTCGATCAATTTATTGTCGACGAAATTTCTTTCGAGCAAATTTCCGGTAACCCATTTTAATTGTTAATTTCAGTTTAAACCCCCCCCCCCCCCCAAAAAAAAAAAAAATCCTTTCTCATTCATTTCACTAAGATTACTAAGAACATTTAATTGTAAAGTCATTAAACAGAAAACTCATCATTGTAGTAAATTTGAATATTCGTTGTTTTTTAAAGTTATCATTTAATATGATTAAGAAACATTTTTTTTTATATTTTTTTTTTTTCGCGATTTAAATTTTTGGCGCATGTCGTATGATTGCTGAATGATCCCATATGTGTATTTCTGATCCGAGCCCAAAGATGTACTTACACAGTAACGAAAACAGTAATGGAATCAACATGTTCAATTCAATCCAAACAATCGTGATCCGTAATGTTCTGAATTATATACGTTGCTTTGCTCCTTATCTATTTGGTCCGCTTCTTTAACTACTCTAAGGTCAGAATGACGTATGGGTTACACTTCCAAAGGCGTGTCAGAATGAGGAATGGGCTGCACTTCCAAAGGCGTGTCAGAATGAGGAATGGGCTACACTTCCAAAAGGCGTGTCAGAATGACGTATGGGTTACACTTCCAAAAGGCGTGTCAGGATGAGGTATGGGTTACACTTCCAAAAGGCGTGTCAGAATGACGTATGGGTTACACTTCCAAAAGGCGTGTCAGAATGAGGAATGGGCTACACTTCGAAAAGGCGTGTCAGAATGAGGAATGGGCTGCACTTCCAAAAGGCGTGTCAGAATGAGGTATGGGCTGCGCTTCCAAGGGCGTATCATCTTTAAATAAATATGTTTCCCTACGAAGTATAGCAGACTTTGTGGAAAATGTGTCAGTTTCTGGTTCAATCGCCGGTTTTTCCCAACAGCCTCTGCGTGATGAGGGTCAACAACCTCTATAATAAACTTAAGGGTTCCCCTACAACTTTTGCTTATGATAAATTTAAGGGTTCCCAAACAACCTTTGCTTATGATAAGTTTAAGGGTTCCCCTATAACCTTTGCTTATGATAAGTTTAAGGGTTCCCCAACAACCTTTGCTTATTATAAACTTAAGGTTTCCCCATATACCTTTGCTTATGATAAATGTAAGGGTTCCCCTAAAACCTTTGCTTATGATAAATTTAAGGGTTCCCCAACAACCTTTGCTTATGATAAATTTTGGGTTCCCCTACAACCTTTTGCTTATTATAAACTTAAGGTTTCCCCATATACCTTTGCTTATGATACATTTTGGGTTCCCCTACAACCTTTTGCTTATATGATAAATTCAAGGGTTCCCTTACAACCTTTGATTGTGATAAAGTCAAGGATTTCCAAACAGCACATGCCACGGAGTAGCAAGAGAATGTGACGCACGAGACCATAATTGAATCTGCCGACCTTCACTCACGAAAATCACTGAACATACAGAATTCAGAACATTTATCGAATAGGCAGTGGGCCCGATAATCCACCTCGAAAAGTCCCGCCCCCCCCCTTTTTTTTTTTCACTCTCCTCTTTCTCATCGAGTGAATACATTATTAAAATTTATTTCCCAACAGCACACGCTTATAATTAAGTCATGTTTTTTTTTTTCATCCCAAACACACACTCCCTGAGTCATGGAAGTCCCAAATAGCAGGGGCGTCATTTTTGGGTAGGGCAGGGTGGGGTTTTTGCCCCCCCCCCCTGACTTTGCAGCTTTTATTTAAATTGCTATGTACTGTGGCGCCCCCAGTAATAAACAACCTAACAAGCCGACCAAGTTTTGGTTTTGCCCCCCCCCCCCTTTTTGAAAAAAACCTGAAACGGCGCCCCTTCCAAACAGCTTACAGTTGAGAAATCTGCTCCAAGGAGTTACTTTCATTAAGTCGGGCGAGATATGTAAAAAGAAACAAAATTGTATGATTGGGGGCAGAATAACCCTCATAAAAACGAAATGACAAAATAGTTTTATGAACACTCACAAAACTATTTAGACTAATCGGCTATTGTAGTTACGCTACTGTCTACATGCTACAGACCAGTAGCATAGCTAAAGGGGGAAGGGGCGCCGGACTAATTAGGGGCGACAAAATGTGCTTTAATAACCACTGAATCTAAAACTGTCACAGCGTCTGGGATTGAAAAAACGAATTTTAATGATACACGTTATATAGAGAGGAACTTTGCTTTTTAGAATTGTGCATTTAAGACTGGTACACAGATTACGGCTTCCAATAATGGCAACATTTTAATACGCAGTAAGAGAACCGTTGGTATCATCCCACACCCTAGACAATCAAGGCACCCACGGGAGGCATCCAGCGAGAGAACCTCTGGTACCAGCACATAACATTGCCATGGAAACTCTATTAGCACCGGGGGGAGGGGTGGAGGACCCATTGAGAGAAGATATGGTAACAGACAATAACTTTTGATGCAACAAAGAGGCTGATGTCTGCATTCGTGCTATCACGCATGGACTAATGTAATGCTCTGATGGTGGGTCTTCCAGCTACGCTCCTGGATAAAATTAAAAAAGTACAGAATAATGCGGCTCACATTGTTTTCCGCAAACGCATATTTGACCATGCTAAAACACTTCTGAGAGAGTTACATTGGCTGCCGGTCCGCGTTCGCATAGAGTACAAAATTGCAACTCTGTGCTACCGCTGCTTACATGACCTGGCGCCGTCCTATCTCAAGGAGTTCATGACGCCTTATGTACCCACTAGACAACTCCGATCATTCGATAGTGGCAAAATCTCAATACCACTTGTTCGCCTTGAGAATTGCGGAAATCGCACGTTCGCATTTGCTGGCCCAACAATTTGGAATACACTTCCTGTCGCTCTCAGAAACAGCCAGACACTGGAGTCTTTCAAAACTGATTTTAAAACATATCTATTTCGCAAACCCCTGTTGGGGTGAAGTTGTCTACCATCTTTACCAGCTAGCTATTATCTCCTAGATGTGAAGTGGCCTGTGTTGTTTATGGTTGCAAGGGATGAAAGACTTGGAATGGGTATTCTCGTATGTAGTTTTTGTAATATTGCGTTTTGTATTTCAATGTGATAAAATATAGATTTTTTTCATTTCTTTTTTAATACGGATGACTTTGTACCACACTTCTAGCATTTGGGGGTGAAGTGTGATTTTAAAATAAGCTTTATTATTATTATCATTACTATGGAAACTCTATTGACATCCCTCGTGGGGACTGGGAGCTTCCAGGCGACGGATTTCTTCGTGAGGGCTACTGGAGCAGACGTCTAATGCTCACGGGATGAAGAAGAAATATGGCCAAGCATGCTCATACCCTGTTTATAAAAAACATGAAGCCCTTAGCAACTGATTGCTCACCGACAACTCATAATGTACGTTCATGATAATGAAAGGACTTTCCCTGTGGTACTGCGTGGAACACTTAAATTAATTTGGACTAAAATTCGTTGTAATTTAAATTATTTTTTTATTTTAAAAAAATGAAAAAGATTCCTTAAACTATTTTTTTCTTGATTAAATTGCAAAATATGTTGAGCACGAGGAAGCCATGGCCATGTGTTTGTTAGTTAAAAGGTTTAACGGGATCTACTACTAGCGTTATTTAATTTTTATATTTAAAGTGAAAGTACATTTCTGTAGGAACCTTTGAAAAGGAATAAAAGTAGGCTGAATTTTTAATTTAAAAAAATAATTGTGTGTGTGTGTTAGGCCTTTACACACTTTGATGCTCATTCTACCGAAATTTCATATATTTATATAATGAAATGAAAGCTTATTTACTTAAAATTTTATATTTCAACATATTTTATCAAAATAATCCTGCAACTATAGCCTTGAAAATAGGATTATTATGATCTCTTATATATATTACGCTTCTGGTACGATGCTTGGACTGCTTCCTAATGGACTGCTTCCATTTATGGCAGCTTCCTAATCAGCGTATTGGGTATTGAGAGTTTATTAAAAATAATTCTAAAAATGTTTTCAAGAAAGTATGGTTCAATAATGAGTTCAATAGTGCGTAAAATATAATTCCCCATAACAACGCTAAATTATATTTTTTTCTAAAATGTAATGCAACTGCATTTGGCGCGTAATATTTTCTTTTTGGAAAATGAAATCGTTTCAATTTAAATATGGTGTAAAAAATATTTGGTTTAAAAAGCTTTGGACATTAGAATATTTAATATAGCGCATGGGTGTAAAATAAAAAGTTTGCAGTGACGTATCATGGGGGAAGCGGGGTAGCAAAAAATTGGGATTCTTAAATGTCAAGTGTGCCTTACTTGAGTTCATGTTTTGTCAAGTAACATTAGTAGAGGGAAATTCACGCATTGCTGTCGCCAATGTTTTGCGGGCTTTATCTAGTTTTTAAATACTAAAACATGATGGCATGCTATTTGTTCGAGTTTGATTAGTTTACCCCCTCCCCCCATTCCCCCGCCCCATTCCCCCCCCCTCCCAAAGTTTATCAACTTTTACTTCTGATAAAGGTTAAAGGGAGAGCATTGCCGATTATATCATGACATCACTTCCATGCGACAACCTCGTATCCAACAAAGAAGAGTGAGAAGTGGTCACAAAAATAAAAGAAAACAGTTAGTTTATAAATATTAATCGTAGTATTTACAATAAAAATTAATAATTATCAAGTCAGAACATAATTTGCAATGAATGCTAAATCTGAGGTTCAATTAATGCCATGTTTCATCATAATTACATCTTTTTAATTCTTAAAATTAAAACTGAACCCTCGGGTGTGCTCCCAACGAACAAAAACACAACATCAACTTCAATCTTGACTTTACTTGACTACAGTACAGTAATACTAATTGAAATTGATTGCCAAATTTTAATATTTCAAATACAGATTTGAAATTGTATATGGCCATGGGGCATTCCTATTCCTACTTTCTTTACAAATAACAACCTTAGCTCTCCAAACAGGATTCCAGGTCTTCTGATTTTTTATTAAAAAAATAAAATTTAAAACAACAAATTCAATTTTGACTTTACTTGACTACAGTAATACTAATTTAAATTGATTGCCAAATTTTAATATTTCAAATACAGATTTGAAATTGTATATGGCCATGGGGCATTAATATTCCTACTTTCTTTACAAATAATAACGCTTAACTCTCCAAACAGGATTGCAGGTCTTCTGATTTTTTATTTAAAATTATTAATTAATTTATATTAATTTAAAATTATTAATAATTTAATTGATAGGCCAGGGCCTTACAATGGCACTTATTTAGGTTTCTTTTTAATTAGAATGTCTACCTAGAGTGCCTAGACCTATGCTGAGATTGGGACTCCTCAGAACGGCAGTCCCAAATGTCAATGTCAAATAAAATACTTTTTGTTACAACGTCAATGTCATCAAAGTGATAGTTAATAGCCTATAAATAGCCGCCGATAATTGGCGCTGGCCTATTTACATTTATGCATTTTATTGAAGATCATGATCTTCATCAGCCTCTTCATTATCATCATCTCCTAAGAGGAAAAAAAAAGGAAGAAAAAGAAAGAAAAATGCAAGAGAAAAACAAAAGTTATCTCTCTTGAATTGCTGTTTTGTATTTGACTGTGTTCTTCAAGCCACAATAACCAAAGTAAAAGCATGCTGTCACACAGGGATATAGTGCCTTCGGCATTGTGTCATAAGTTTGCAGAATGTTTCCTGAAATCAGAACTGACGCTTTTGCAGTCTGCTGGCCATTGTTTTGTTTATTTTATATTATGACAAGCAAAAATTAGCCTGCTAACAAAATTATAAGTTAAAAGTTAACAATTACATCAATTATCAGCTGCTATTAAGCTTTCTAACTTTCCGATATTTGACATCTGAGACTGCCATTCTGAGGAGTGCCCACAGTAAAGCCAAGGCCAAGTGTCGTAGCTAGGGATAGTCTTGGGTTGGTCATAGAATTTCGCCTCCCTCTTCCATGAAAAAAAAATCTGCAGTATGCTGCCCCTCGATATAGAGAAAAATAGGGCTGTAAACCCCCCCCCCCCTTTTCCACACGCCACTCCCTAGGCCCCTATTATCCTTACTCTTTATACTGTGCCTTAGAATTAAGCCCTTAGTTAAAGAATTGATTTATTCCTTCCTTAATTTTTTCTTTATTATTGAAGGATGAGAAAGACCAGGAAGAAGTCATATTTGTTCCTCCAAGTGATGCACTAGATGTGGATGAATCACAAGCTGCAGACTCAGAGAAAGGAGAGCTTCTTACTGATGAAATAAAGCTTGAAGAACAAGAGATAAAAAGTGGTAGTAAAAGCGATTCAAAAGGAGAAATTCAACTTGACTCTGAGGAAAATTCTGGCCAACAGAAAACTGAAAGTGAAGGGAGTGGTCAAAGGGAAGTTGATCCGGATGAACCAGACGAAGAGTCTGAACTTGAAAAGAAGAGTAAGTTATCCATTTCAAGGCGAAGCACAGTGAACAAACTAGAGACAGGAATAGCTGCAGAATCTGAACACTATCAGATATCAAAAGTTACTGAGTCTGAGGATATTCCAAGATTATCAGTTAAAAGGAGTAGTGAAGACAAGGAACCACAGGCAGTAGCATTTACTGAATCAGATGATATACCAAGATTATCTGTAAAAAGGCGTAGCACTGACCAACAACAAGAGCAGGCAATTGCAACTGAATCTTATGATATACCAAGGTTATCTGTAACAAGGCGTATTGTAGACAAGGAACCGAAGCCTGCAGAAGCTACTGAATCTGATGATATACCTAGATTATCTGTAACAAGGCGTAGCATAGTCAAGGAATCAGATCAGGCAATAGCTACTGAATTTGATGATAAACCAAGGTTATCAATAGCAAGGAGTAGCACAGACAAACAACAGCCAGTTACAGCTACCAAATTTGATGATAACCCAATAATATCTATAATAAGGAGTAGCGAAGATGAGGAATCAGGGAAGGCAATAGCCAATGAATCTAATGATAAACCAAGATTATCTGTAACAAGGGGTAGCACTGACAAAGAATCAGAGCAGATAATACCTTTTGAGCCAGATGAGAAACCAAGAGTATCTGTGACAAGGAGCAGCACAGACAAGCAACGGCCATCAAATTCTACCAATTCTGAAGATAAACCAAGGCCATCTGTAGCAAGGAGTAGCACTGACAAAGAACAACGGAAAACAAGCACAGAATCTGATGGTAGACCGAGGTTATCTGCACCAAGAGGAAGTGTGGTCAAGGAACAAACAGTAAGGAGAAGCATCATAAAACAACAAGAGCAAGGCATTGCTCAGGACACCAGAAGGGTTTCGGTAAATCAGAGAACCTCTGTTAAAATACAGGAGCTAGAAGAAGAAGAAACAGAACCTAAAAGAAGTAGTCTGTCTCTTGAGCGTAGGAGAAGCAGTCTCAGGCCACCAGAGAGTAAACCTGATGTCCCGTCTGGGAGTAAAGGTTTTTTATCTGATTTGAGGCGTAGCACACTCAAAGTGCCGAGTCAGGTCAAAGAACTCTTGTCTGAACTTAAGTCTAAAGTTACTTCAAGAGCCCACGGAAGCGTGGAGGACCACGAAGATCAAGAAAGAGGCAGCACATCTGAGCTGAAAAGATTGTCCAAAGGCAGTTTTACCGGTAAATCCAAAGAAGCGCTTGCTAGTACATCTAACAACCAGGATTTCCAGAGAAAAAAATCTTCAGTGACCGAGGACGAAAAGAGTAGAAAACCCTCAACAAGCAACGCCAGGCCTGCAAAGGGCAAGGCAGTTGAACATTCTGATACACAGGAAATCTCTCAATCTTCAGCAAAGAAGAAGTGCAGTGACAGCAGTTCGGGCTGTGACATAATGTCTGATTTCTCTGATGAAGTTGCAGACATGGCAGACTCTATATTGGACAGTTTTGTCGTGCTAGAGTCCGAGCCAAGCAGCTCACTTGACATAGCGTACGAGAGGATTTTCGGGGACATCACAAAAGGCTCAGCTCTCAAACAGTTTGTCGTGGGTGGTGGAACTGGATGGTAAGATATTTATGGAACTCAGAGATTTTTATACTTTAATCTACTGGTTTATCATTATGCAAAATCCATTGTCGGATTAATAGGCTATAAAAGACACTTACATTATGCACTCAAACAATTGAAGCATTTTTTTAAATTTTTACAATGTCTGCTTTAAACATTGGGAAAAGAAACTTCAGGACAGGAAATACTAAATAACCAACGATGCCATGCTGGATTTAAATATGAACTAAAATTTTTAATATGATAAGACATGTTTAGCAAAATTATTTTGGGATAAAATAAAATTTATTTTAAAATCCCCGGTATGTAATAATATATTTAATATCTTTTTTTTTTAAAAATCAAAGTCATGGAAGCCCTACAGTGTGAATTCAAAAGTTATATTTTTAAAATCCCAAAATTTTGTGAACAATTATTGAATAAGGAAAGTCATAACCAACTAGGAATTCTCTTAAGGAAAGTCATTACCAACTAGGAATTCTCTAAAAATATAATATATTTAAATATTTTTTTTTTTTAATTGATAACCAACATCTAATAAATTTAAGTTCTACTTCAGAATACATTTTTAGTGCGGAATTTCTTTCCATGAAAACAAAATTTATTTAATTTTAAATATTTATCATTCAGGTTTGCAGGTTACCTCACTCACAAAGTTGGGAAAATTGCTGTGATTACAGTGGCAGGAGCACTTATTGCAGTGCAGGTTTGGCAGTGATGCATTTGAACATACTTTTATAAACATTCAGTTTTATGTTCAAGCAATGGTAATAGACAATGTCTCTGACAACTGTCCAAGCAAATTAGCTTACAAATATTTTTTATCTGCATATGTTTATATTTCATAGTTTTGTCACTGTTCCACTTTGCTTTTTTTCAGATTGCCCAGTACAACGGTCTCATCAAGGTCAACTGGACCAAGGTCAACCGTGCACTGACAAAAGTTCGAGCCAGGGCCAGGGCGACCATGCTAAGAAATCGGCAGAGGCTCTCAGAGAGGGTGAGCGTGGATAACTTGCTGCATGCAGTTGAGTGCTCTTCTGTCTTCTATTTAAGATGACTTGAGTGGACATGTTACCTTTGTCAGATCTGCTGATAGGTGGAATCGCAAATAAAAAAAGCATCACACATTTTTAGTAGACTAATATTTTATTAATGGATATTTGAAAAAGATTTTAAAATGTAGTCTATTATGAATTTTTATTTCACAACAGCATGGCTGCAAAGTCACAACAAAATTTACTTGTTTCAATCTTACAGACATAGTAATTATGTATATTTTTTTAATGTCCTTATTTTTCTATATTAATTTTGAGTTTGCTTAGATAATTTTTTCCCCTCTTCACCTTCTATGGCTCCCAAACCTGAACTACTTTAAAATGAATCTACTGCATTTTCAATTCACAGCCTGTTAAAATAAAATAAACAATTTTAAAAAGGGAAATTCTAAAAGCTCATGGATGTTGTTATGTTGTTAGATAAGAAGGAAATATGCACAAGATGTGCCCCTACCTTGCTTTGGAAGACATAAGAGAATAAGATGCATCTAAATGTTTCTCACACTTATATAAATGTCCATTGCCCTATCAGTGACCTAAACACTTGACTAAATTAAATGGTTCTAAAACAGTTATCAGTCTTGTCCACATTGCTGAGACTCATCTATTTGTAGCGGCATTTTAAGGATAATGAGTAAAATAACAATCTCAAATAAAGCCAGCCTGAGCATGAGGTAGGGGAAACGATCATTTCCATTTATGGGGAACATTAGATCTCAAAGTATAAGATCAATAGTATATTTTAAACTCATTGCTCAAGACTAGGTAGAGGTTTTGCTAAAAGTCACACTGTTTTTTTTCGTTTTTCTGCATTCCAGACAAAACTGTTCTACGAAGAAAACTTCTTTTTGGCCTCTGGATTTGCAGGTGGATTTATTTTTGGATTTTTCATGTGAGGACTGCTGGAGTGGACGGTCTGTGATCAGATCAGGCCAAAAGGTTTCATCATGTGACCCTGAATACCCACAACTAGTACCGGACTTTGCATCATATGTTACATACACAAGCTTCACCTAGCACACTGATTTCAACTAGGGTTGGTATTCTTCATCAAATAAGCATCTCTTCATGAAATAACATTTCGTGAAATTATCAGATGCACCAAAATGGATTTTAAAAAGTTTTTAAACCTGTAACTGTCACAACGGCGATTATCTGCCATTAAACCCCATTTTTTATCCGCTAGCAAAATCTTCATTATGATTTGAGAATGATTTAACGTACACTGGTTAAGGAGAAATCAATCTATATAAATGAATTTGCGCTCTATTTACGTATCTATGTGTGTTAACATGCTTTTATCTGGGATTTTTGGTGACTAATTGGGTTTGCTAAAAATTTGTGTACTGCCATGACTGATTCCAGAGAGGTTCCTCCTCTAGATTTGCAAAATCAAGACAGAATTTCTTTATTGGAATTATTTCAAATGGATTAAAATGAAAGCAAGGATTTCAAGATGTTCCATGTGCTGGTAATGACAGTTTTAGCTCTAGTGGTGATGGTAACAGAAGAGTCAGGTACGGTATTGACAGTTTTAGCCCTAAGCTTAGTCGTATTGAGACACACAAATTCGTTTGGGAAAGGATGGAAATCGAACAGAAAAGACAAAGATTGGATCCTAAAGACCTACACTAAAGAGATTCAAAGACATTTATGTATGTGTATGTTCTGGAGTATTAATTAATTTAAAAAATGGATTTAATAACTTCAATTGAAAAGGAATTTTTGAACTCATTTCATGCTTTCCCTTTTGTATGTCGGTAATGAATGAAAAAATTCACCAATGTTACAATTCTCAATTTAAGTACCTATAACTTGACATTTGCTGAAGGAATATTGCTTCTAGTATCTCAAAAACTTGACATTGAGTAGTAAAATTTTACTCACTCTGTAAATGTTTCAAGTGCCACCTTAGGGGTCAAAGTAAGAAACCGGTTGCATTCCAGGCTCTTGAGTAATATCAATACATTCTTGGTAGGAATGTTGCCATTATAGGCTAATCCTCAATGAGATGTTGATGAGATCTGCATCAAAGCCTCAGTTTGGGGACTTCACTGAGACAGTTTGATTATCTGAAACCCTACCATTTAAATTTTGTACACATTTGTAATTTGTAGTTGATAGCAATGTATGAGAAATTCACAGTTTGCCATTTACTTTATGATTTGATATTGAAGTTTACATGGACTGTATCAATCCCATCATGTCCATCTTATAGATCAACTGGCGCGTCATATTCAGGTTGAATCTCTGTTCACCATATTTAAATTGAATTTGGTTTTTGAAAAAAAGCTTAACAGCAAAGATATAATTGAAAAGAACTTGACATATCTATTTCATTTACAAGGCTGCTCTTGTTTTGCTAATCTCTGGTTATGTAAAGGTCTTCAGTGATTAATTATATTAGCAGTGAAAATGTCTGACCTTTACTTTGTTAAGGACCTCCCTTATGTTCTTGATGAATTTTAGGGGAAAAAAATGTACATGTGAACTGTTCAAAAGACCAACAATGTGGTTAAATTTATTTTCAACATTTCAATCCATAATTGCTGACATGAGTTAGTAGATCAAGACATCTGGCTTACATAATAATATGTGTACTTTATTTGTGGTTTTTACTGCTTGACTTAGCGTGTAAAATATAGTCAGAAATGCAATATTTTGAATGGGAGTGTTATGTTTAAGATAACTTGTTGAATATGTTGGAATGCTTTTTTTACATTCTCAGGACTGTTGATCCTATGAAAGTGGTGGCTGTGTTTTTATTTTGTATGTTCTGTCTGTTGTAAAATGACTTGTCATCATGTGGTGCATCAAGCTTATAGCTCACTATAGATATTATAATTTGTTGACATTTATTTCAATTATACTTTTTACCTTATTTTTCTCAAAGAAGTTGATTTAATAAAATACAGACGAAGCATAAATGGGATTTTTATAATTTTTTTATTTGTCTGCACACCAGTGTATAACCCAGTTGCAGTGATTCTTGTGTTAAGGAACAGGTGGCCGTTTTGTCAAAAGGTCCCACCTTTCCTCAGCCTCGTAAATAGATAATTCACAATACTGATGAAGTCACAAACATTGAGCTGTTAGAAACCATCATTATAATTGCAGACAAACATCCTGCTGGTGGGCTTCACCCTACATGTCTTTTTGCTGGCACACACCAGTCAGATGACACTCTGAACAGTCGGCACCACCCTTCTTTGTACTCACTTGAACTTCGCATATAGAAGCTTCAATCCTATAGCTTTTGATTTTTATCCTGGAACCATAATTTTCTTTAAGTAACTCCATCTTACAAAACAGACGAAATTGATGTACAAGCTATATGTGATGGGAATGCCTTTAGAGCCAAAGGAACATATTTTAAGGATCCTTTACTGTTAAACTCCTCCACCCCATCAGTCATTTGAGTTAAAAAGGTCATTGACTCCTACTGTACACACACAAGGCATTTAGTCAATCAGATTGGAATCCAGCATTTATTATATCATTAAAAATACATGTCATTATTTCAACTGTTTTATTCATAGAGATAACAATTTAGAAATATCGTAAATTAGGAACCTCAATGAAATAAGGATTAATAAATGTCATGAAATTAAAGTCTGCAAATATGTTAACATTTTAAAGAAAAATAAATTGCAAACAGATATTTATAATAAATTTAAACTATGGATAGTACTGGTACTGTTGGATATTTTACACTATATTCAGAATTAAGATAAAACATGGGGGAGGGGGGTTATGTGGGGGGGGGGGGTCGGTGTAGAGTGAGACAGGAGGAGAGAGAGAGAAACCCATTCAACAATATTTTAACATTGTTACAGATGAAATTTCAAGATAAGCATTTTTTTTACCAAAAAAGCTTTACAAAAACGCCATGTTGGAGAGGATAATTGAAAAGCTTTCCAAAAATGTACAACTTTTTAAAACAAATATAATCAAAGCCTAACTGAGATAAGAGGTAACAAAAATTTTTTTTTTCAAATTTGAAAAATTTAAGTTGCTGCAAAACATGAAAAATCAATATTTTGTTCAGTTAGTATGAAATCGAAAAATAATGCTTAGAAATATTTGAACTACAAAATACATTTGAAAAGAATATCACTGAAAAACATTAAAACAATGTTAAAACAAATTGTGAAATGTTTGACCAATGAAAAGATTGGTAGAAAGGAACATGGTTTCTAAGCCAGGAGGTAAATAACTTGATGCTGAAGATGAAAATCATGTGACTTGATAGTGATTATATCTTGTTAAAGATAATTTGAGGTAACTGGTAACTATGTAACGATCGGGAAGAGGGGGGGGGGAAAAAGATGGAAACCTCTAAAAAATAAAAAAAAAATAAAAACAAAAAAATTCAGTTTTGGTAACAAAATTTCTCATTTAGCAAAATTTTACATACCAGGATATTACATTTTTTAAAAGAAATGTTTGGTTTAGAACTGGGTAGACTTAAAAAATATTTGAGCTTTAGCAAACAAAATTAAAATATAACAGTATATTAATGAAATAATTCTAAAATATAAACTTTCAAGACAAAATCTCAAATTGTTTTCGTTGAATCTCTCCTGTATTGTTCCAGTAAAATAAACTGGGTAAATGAGTAAATCAAATGGTGGAAAAGTCTGAGATCTGCAAAGTTCTCTACAATATTGACATTCATAAACATTCAGGATCTTAAGTAGTCAGAAAACAAGTTGTACGGATGTTACCAGCTAAGAGCGAAATAAAGCTATTTCATAAGAGTGCCTATCCATTATTTTCTTTTAAAGCAAAATTTGAATTACTCTGACATTATTTACATTATCTAAGCATTCTATAAAATACCCTCACAGACTATGGTAAAGTGTGAATCAATTCAAAACTAGGGTTGGACATTTTTGCTAACCCATTTCAAATCTGTGACACCAGCTAATAATAAACATCAGAAGAAAAACTTGAATTATAAACTGGT